GAATTCCTGCTATCTGTACCCTGGGTAAATTATTAAGCTCACAACCTGAAAACTTTTCTTGGTGTTTATAAAATCTGAATAAATGCAAGTATTGGATTTGAATTGATTTTAAAAATCACTTCTGTCACACAGACTGAACCTCCACTAAATACTCCGGAAAATAGGGAATATACTGCTGAGATAATGTTTGAGTCCTTCAACGTTCCAGGACTGTACATTGCTGTTCAGGTGAGAATGCAACTGTTAAGTGGAGGGAAGGAAAGATGATTTCTCTCAACTTTAATTTAAATGATCTTTAAACCCAATGAGAAAATTGTGCATAATTCTACTGGTTTGGAGATTGGTATTTGGGTTAGAGGTTTTCATTGGGTGACTGGTTCAAATCCAGCATAGTGGTCAAAAATACTTACTCCAGCTAGCAGCCAAATGATATTATGTAAAATGAACTGGTGGTTTCAACTCAGTTCGTGAAGGACAGGTTTCCCATGAGAAAACACACCATAATAAGTGGTAATAGGCCAAGAACAGAATAGGCCATGAACAGGAAGTTGTCTTTCCTTTCTAGAGGCAGCCCTTTGGATGGGAGTACCTCTGTTTTGCAGAACTTGCACTGCGGTATTTCTGTGCTGTGCCTGTTCTGTGGCTAGAAAACATTAGGGACAGGAACTATCAATATGCCTCCCTTTTTTTTTTTTTGCAAGCTGTTTTTTATAGATATTCCACCACTCCATTTTTGTTTTCCAATCCATAAATGGTACTAATGCACACAAATTAGTGAATTACAAATCTTTCTGAATAACCTTTTAGTATAACTTGAGCTTTAGTGAAAATTTTTATTTTTAGAAAGCATTGATCTGTTTCCTTAGGAATTTTTGTTTTAGGAGCATGATATAGTTTATATTTGTTTGAGATGGAACACAATAGCACTTAAGCAGATTCCCTTTAGAAATCTGTTTCAATTTTGTGATTATGCTTTTTACTACTTGATCCTGGTGTATAATCAAATATGCAAATAACAAATATATAGGTACTAATTTGCCATTGGAGAACATCATACTGGCTCACATATAGGTTCATCTAGATTCCTTCACATTTTCTATCAGTTGTTCATCCACAGGTCTAGACCATCCCATTTCTCCAAAATATAAAGTATGTTCCACTTCTTTCATTCACACTTCCTTGAACAGATGTTTGTCTTAGTACTGTGTCAGGCAGAAATCTTGATATTCAAACATGCATTCACCATTCATTTATATAATTGTGTAGACCTCTCCAAGTGGCACCTATCATTATATAGTTATTTCTGCCAGTAGTGTCCTGCTCTCCAATTTGAATGTTTTTTTTTAACTGTGTGTGAGGAATAGAGAGGATGATGTATTTTGTCTCCTAACAGTTTGAAGTTCATTTCCTCCAGCACTTCAGACAGTAGAAATGCAACCTGATGTTCCTTGCTTGTGTAAATCACTTCAGGGAGGTTCGAACATGAATTGATGCTTAAACTTACATGCTTCAATTAAATCAGTGGAACCATACCAGTTTACAACAACAGAGGATCTAGCCCAGTAGTTTTCAACCTGGGGTCCGCAGACTATGTCTAAGAGGTCTGTGAAAGATGGTTACCACCATAGAACAGTGGTTTTCAATCTGAGGTCCGCGGACCCCTAGGGACCACCTCCATTTGAAATTTTTTAGGGGTCCACAAATGAAAAAAGGTTGAAAACCACTGATCTATCCCTTAGTTTATAAGTGTATTTGCCTACAAAAAGAAACTAACTTAATGCCAAACTCTAATTCTAGTGCTTTTGTTTAGAACACAATACATCGTCAATTCCCTTTTCAGTACATGGTAATTTATGCTACAGTAGTGTCAAAATCAGATGTACTTGTTACAAAGTCATATTTTTTTCTCATTTTTATACTGAAACTTACTGACAAATTTTGTAAGTTTCATTCTTTGATTCTATATAAAGGAAAAATGAAAAGTATTCAAATATTGAGGGCTTAGGTTATTTTGATTCAGTTGTGCTTAAATAGACTTTGTTCACTTTGGCTTTTTTTTTTGTACCTTCATTCAAAGGGTATAAAACATCAGCTGTAGAGGAACTTCAGTATAGGCTTTATGCATCAATGTAAAACTAAAGGTTCAAATTCTGCTTTCTCTTTTGCAAGGCTGTCCTTGCCTTAGCTGCATCTTGGACATCGAGACAGGTAGGAGAACGGACATTGACTGGCACAGTTATAGACAGTGGAGATGGTGTTACTCATGTTATTCCTGTGGTAAGTATACTTCAAAATATCAAAGCCGCATAATGTAATGCTATATCACGCATTGTAACCTTGCTGAAGAGAACATTGATATAGGAGATGGCTTTTGTTGTAGTTAAAACATGTAAGTAGATGAAAAGGAATTGATAGATGAAAATGTAATCTCCACAATGGGACATGTGACTATTCATTTTGATCGTTTTTCGTTAAAAATTCAAATTTTGAGTGTGGGTTTGCTACTTACAAAATGTTTTAGCTCATTATTAAATTTCAGAGATGATGCAGAACTTGGAATAATTAAGACATTTCAAATAATTTATTACTGTAAAAAGTGCTGCATATGCTGTACAAACAGTATATCAGATAATAGAATAATTAAGTCTTCTGGTTTGAGCTTCCTTTTTAAAGGTCAGGGAATCTAATCTACTGTTAAAACATATGCAATTTACAAATTAATCCTCATGAACACAAATATCCTATCACTTTTATGATAGAATTCAACACCTGCCTCCTCTTTCCTTCTCTATGACATGTGGGGATAAGGGAGGGTGGAATGAAAAATTATAAAAATGGTAGACCAATGTGATGTGCTAAATGTCATTTTGATCACTTTGCTGGACTGTTATGTCTCCTCCCGATCTTCAAAACTCCCATCTCTTTGGCCTATGTAAATTGTAAACTCTTGCATACTTATGCCTACAACTCTTGAATGCTATTGAACAGTAATGGGTGAGGGAATGTCTCCCATCACTCAGTGGTACTCACTTTATCTGACTTAAGGAGCAAATATAGAGAGTAAGAAGTTGTTACTTTAAGTGCTGACAGAATGGATGTGTCTGGTCTCTGTTGTCTGTAAGAATGGTAACCAAATGCAGGGCCTCAGAAATGGAGAATAAAGAACTATGAATAATGGGAGTGTCCTCTGGGCTCCATCAAGGGTACAAGATTATGAGAGGGATTGTGTGTGTAAATGTAACTCTGATAAATCTGAATTGTGGTAATGAAGGACCCAATCCTGTAAGGATATGAATAAGCATTTTCAGAATCGCACTCTATATGCTTCAATAAATAACTCTTTTTTTGGAAGCTGATGGAAAGCATTTCTTTCTCCTTCTCCAAATTAATGTTACTTCCAGGCTGAAGGCTATGTGATTGGCAGCTGTATCAAACATATTCCAATTGCAGGACGAGATATAACATACTTCATTCAGCAACTGCTGAGAGAGCGAGAAGTAGGAATTCCTCCTGAGCAATCCTTGGAAACTGCTAAAGCAGTGAAGGTAAAATGAAAATTAATGAATGGCAAAGTTATACCACAGTATGAATTTATTTTAAAAAATCATATTAAAAATGACTCCCTTCTTAATTATCTTTTTCTAAATGAGAATATAAATGTTGATATTTAACTACCTAAAATATAACGTGATATTAATAAACCAGTGTCAGTCTAGAACCATCTTTTCCCCTGAGACGTAACTATTGTAATACTTAACTGGAAACTCTCCTGGTGCTAACTGTAAATGAAAAGCCATAATGACTTATCTTTTTTTAATTCACACAATGCACAGTCAACCTGTGAAACTTGCTGCCAGGGGATGTTGTGAAGACCAACACTATAACTGGGTTCAAAAAAGAATGATTTAATTTCTTGGAGGATAGGTCCATCAATGGTTATTAGCCAAGATCTGCAACCCTGTGCTCTGACTGACCCTAAGCCTCTGAAGATGGCACTGGACGACAGGGAATGGATCACTCAATAATTTCCCTCTGACGCATCTGGCATTGGCCAATGTCAGAAGACAAGATACTAATCCAGAATGGTCATTCTTATGTCCTTATGATTTCTTCTGCATAGGTAGCTGTCTCCCCTTCCTCCTTTCTCCCCCCCCCCCCCCCCCCCAGCAGTACAAATCTGTTATAACTGATCCACTGAAGGATGTTCATCTATTAAGTACATTATACATTTAGTACTCATTTTTCATTACCATCAAAATTTGAGGAAAAATGGAATCAAAACCAACTTAGCCGGTCAAAGCATGCTACTTGCTCCCAGTGATGCATAGAAATGATTACAATTATTTAATTGTACATAGTGTCGCTTGAACCTTTTTTTTTTGTACTCTGTGTAGCTACTTACTAGCTTCCAACTCTTTCCAAGAGCCTGAACCATTTTTAAAAAGGAGCCTTATTTGTACTATATTTAATTGGGTTCAAACAGCTCCATATTGTAAGTACATACCATTTTTTTTTTCTACTGTGTTGGGGAAGATTTCTACAAATGTGTATATTTAATTTTCAGGAGCGCTTTAGTTATGTCTGCCCTGATTTAGTAAAAGAATTCAACAAGTATGACACTGATGGTACAAAATGGATTAAACAGTATACCGGAATCAATGCAATCTCAAAGAAAGAATTCACCATTGATGTTGGTTATGAGAGATTCCTGGGGCCGGAGATCTTCTTTCATCCTGAGGTAAGTTGGTGTGAATTATAGTGGTCTTCAGATTTTTTCAGTTCAAGCTTAGAACAGCGGTTTAAAATTGGTACACTAAAATCTAAATGCATTTGAAAGATGTGAAAACTTGCCTATCTCAGTTTACATTTTAAAGTAGATAATTGCTGTTGTAAAAAGCGAGTGAGTTTTACTACTTGATATTGGGTAACCTTTCAGTATACAAATTACAGCACTTGAGCAGTCAAACACAGTATAACCCTAGAACATTTTAAATAATTGGATTGCTAATATGGGTTATTGTTCCTCTCCTTGCTAAGCATTTATCTTTTAAAATTAAATTTCTTATTACCTATCGTGCATGGTTCTGTCTAGTCATTTAAAATACCAATTTTCATTTCATTAAAAGTTTTCCCTCCCATTTCCAATTCTGTGCCACTCGCCCTGTTTTCAGGGTCATTTTAGAAAAAGCAGATAGGAATAACTCTACCTATTTCTTCCTCAGTCCCTTCTCTTTCTTTATTCTGTTATCCTGGCCACTTCCTCATTCTGAGTTAAACTGTGCGCTTCAGTACTGAGCCTCTGAGAAGTGTGGGAGGTCTTTGAACTGTTGCAAAAGAATTGTTAAATTTACGAAAGCAGTACAAGAGAACAATTGGCAAAATGGAAAAAAAAATCTAATCACTTCTTTCTTTTCTTTTTAACCTTTTACTAAATGGCCATTAAAATAAATACTCAGGTTTCTGTTTCCTGTATTAGTTACCGGTACACATGTAGTGCAATAAGATGGCTTGCTTCATTTATTTCCCCCCTTCTTCTGTTTGGTATAAACGGTGCAGCATTTGACTTGACCGTTTTTTCCATTTGTGAATGTGCATGGGAAGGGGAAGGGGGGAAACAACTCAGAATATCCTTCCTGTTACTCCTGCGTGTACTAACACTGCGTTTTCAATTAAGGACGTGTCTGGGATTAATCCCAGCCTTTTTCTGTTTCTCTCTTTCTATTACATGTTGCTCTCAAGTACTCTGACTCCCTACTACTAATGAGCTTTTTTTTTCCTCTTTCAAGTTTAATTGAGTGCTTTCTTTTCTCACTTTCCTGGGATCCCCTGGGTAACCTGCGTACACATAGTAGGTCAAGAAAAAGTGTATTGCTTCTAAAAGCCAGAAAATAATTATTGCTGTTTCAAATTGCACTTTGATTCTTGTTCTTCGAATTAAAACGGCAAGATTTTTAAAGTATATTGGTTTAAAATTGTGGTGTTAGCTACCTCATTACAGCTGTTTTTATATTCAATTTGACTTCTGATTTTAGTTTGCTAATCCTGACTTCACACAACCCATTTCAGAAGTAGTAGATGAAGTTATTCAGAATTGTCCTATTGATGTTAGACGTCCTCTGTATAAGGTCAGTAAGAGTGAAGTTATTTTAAAATAGTTTTGTTTCAGTGGGGTCCAAACATGCATGTCCTTTACTAGATATAGATGTCATCTTTTTATACTGAAATAGTTGTTATAGACTTGGTGGTAGTTTTTGATTAAAAGCAAACTGCACTGTCATTGGCTCTAACATACAGAAGACCACTCAAAGTGAAGACATTTTCACTAACCGCTTAATTTTAACCAGAATTGCAGTTTGAACATTTTAATCTATTTTAATGTTTCAGGACTGTAATACTGTTTAAAAAAAGGAGGAGGAAAAGGGCTAAAATGGGGGGGAGGGGAAAGAAAAGATGATGGTAGGGATCAAAGGGATTTTTAGACTTTTTTTATACAATTTACCTTTCTTCAGAGTAATAGCCCAATTTGTGTGTGGTATTTTATCTAACGTTTTGAAATTTGAATAATTTAAAACATTCTGTGTAATAACTTTAAAAAGCCATGTAAAATTGGTGACCATAGGTTGAATATCCATGTCCAGGGCTGAATAAATATCGAGGAGCTAACTTTTAGAAGTGACTAGTAATTCTAGATGCCACAATATTGAGTGTCCACATCGACACCCTAAAGAGGTCTAATATTCAGAAATGCTAAGTATCCAACTTCTGAAAATCAATCAGTCCCAGTAACTGCTCTCCAATAGAGTACCCAAAAATGGAGGCACCTGAAATCACTAATCAGTCAAATATTTAGGTCCGAGTCCTTGTAAACAGGAAGCACCCTTAATATAATTATAATAATCAGCGTCTGTCTTCACTCTTATGTCCAAGACTAATAACTAACTTTTGATAGTCTTAAAATTACATAATGACCTATTTCTAATGTATATGCATATTCATTATAGAATATCGTCCTCTCTGGAGGTTCGACCATGTTCAGGGACTTTGGTCGCCGTTTACAACGAGATTTGAAAAGAACTGTTGATGCCCGGCTGAAACTCAGTGAGGAACTGAGTGGTGGCAGACTGAAGGTTTGTTTCCTTAGCCAATACATTAAACTTAATGTTCATGACTCACGTCTATCTCTTTTTATTATGCTTTTTTTTTTACTGGAAATTCTAGGTCTTAAGTAACAAATTATTGCAATGACACTCTTCTGTTTGTGTTGTCATTTTGAACTAAAGTTGATTCTTCTTTTATATAAAGATCTTCTGGGTTATTTTAACAAGGATTAATGTACTGTAATGGACTCCTGAGAATAGTCCCCACACAATACTTGTGTGTTGGAGACCTATGGTGCTCCTTCCCTTGCTTCACAGCTGGGCTGCCCATCCCTTGCTGTAGTCATGAGCTGTAGAAATCTCAGGGTATGTCTACACTGCAATTAGACACCCCTTGGGCTCGGGGGTGGGGAGAGCTGTTTAATTGCAGAGTAGATGTTAGGACTCGGGCTGCAGACCAGGCTCTGGGACCCTCCCACCTCGCAGGGCCCTACAGCCCAGGCTCCAGCCTGAGCCCAAAGATGTACACTGCAATTAATAGCCACTTAGCCAGAGCCCCCTGAGCCCGAGTCAGCTGACATGGGCCAGTAGCAGGTTTTTAATTGAAGTGTAGAGACACCCTCCATCTCCCATAGGGGATAGGGCTTACTCCTGTTATGGGGGGAGGGCACTCTACCCTATGATGAGATGCTGACCTTGACCTTGCTTTTTGTAAACCAAAACAAACCCCCAAAACAACAACAAACAACTGTCTGGGAAAATGTGAGGTAAAATGAATGTCTATTCTTTCTGTTTTTTTCTAAATTAGGCCCTAAATCTAACTTCAGTGCAGCGTTTGTTGGATATGTTTTATATTTCTTTGGGTTACTCTAGCTATATTACTGTCCTTACAAACACTAAGCATCTCTCACACATTCTAATAATGTTTTCAGTATTGTTGTAGCTGTGTTGGGTCCATGATATTAGAGAGACATTATGTGAGGTAGTATCTTTTATTGGACCAACTTCAGTTGGTGAAGGAGACAAGCTTATGAACTTACATAGAGCTCTTCTTCAGGACCTATTACTGAAATTTCAAAATTACACACACACACGTATTCCCCTGATTGAAAATAACCTAACTGAGTTTTCGCTAAGACTAGCTGACAGAACTGCTTGAATCAGTCAACTGCTTTCTGTTTCTGACATTGCATGCCTGAGTCATCTGTAGTGATCTTTATATATCTATGGGGAGGCAGGGAGGTAGACTAAGGGCATGTCAACACTTACCCTCGGAGCGATCGATCCAGCAGCAATCGATTTATCTCGTCTAATGAAGGCACAATAAATCAAGCACTCTCTCATCGACTCTAGTACTCCACCGGAGCGAGAAGCATAGGTGGAGTCGACTGGGGAGTGTCAGAAGTCAACCTACTGCAGTGAAGACACTGCAGTAAGTAGCTCTAAGTATGTCGACTTCAGCTACACTATTTTCGTAGCTGAAGTTGCGTAACTTAGACCGACTTAGCTTGCCCTCCCCCCTCACCAGTGTAGACCAGGCCTAAGTAGCAAAGGGCATGAAGGACATAAGCAATGAGAGCCATGGGGACATGATTGAAGGGTTTGTAAAGACTGGAGTTTAGCAAGTGTGGTAATCTGAGGAAATAAGGTGGGTCTGTGCGAGAGAGGGAGGGAGACGTGGGCGGCTAGTGACCCGGCCGTTGAGGAAGGCTAGTCCCCAGCCCCTCCCCTTGTGCCTCTTCCTTCCCCGCAGGAGTCCAGAGCACCCCCAGCGTGGCCCCAGCCATAGCCTCCCTGTCTTCCTGCAGGAGGCGGGCCAGTCAGGCAGAGCACTCTAGACTGGGAACTGCAGGAGGGGGCCTGGCCTGGCGGCGGAGTGTGGGTGGGGCCACACTAGGCTTTTTAGGAAGGCACAGCCTACCGTTGCCTATGATACCCACTGCCCATGGAGAGAGAGAGAGATTGGAGGGAAGTGAGGGAGGTGCTATGGTTCCGGGAGTGTTTCAAGCAATAACTACATAACTGCAGAGACACTTGGCTTTTCCAGCACTGCTGCCTTGACTCTGACACACCATCAGCACTGTTGGAGCCACACATCCTGTGCCAAAGCCCTGCTACAGCTAGGGCTTCCCCATGGCACTGTTGCTTTAATGTCCTAGTGCATCCTTTCAATCATGGATGCCTCAGCACAGAGATATTGGACTCCATCCCAGACCACCTCCTAGGCCTTTGTTTTCCCCAACAGTAAATCAATTATTGAAAAATCAAAACATAGACTTCCTTATTGCATCATTTTAAATAATACTATTAGTAGTTGCAAACAACTTTTCAAAGTGATTGCTTGAAACACTCGCAGAACCACAGCACCTCGCTTCCCTCCAATAAATCTCTTTTCCACACACACACCTTATTTCCACAGGTTACCTACCACACTTGCTAAATTTCAATCATCTTCACGCACTCACACCAACACACCCAAATATACCCTTCATTTATCAAACTACATCATACACACTATTTCCTGCAACACCAATATTCCAGACAGTGAGGAAACATCCGTTTCTAACCAGTCGAAAGTTTGGCGTTAAAATTTGTACGTTTTGTGTGAATGTAAAGAAGATGCTGCTGCTTTGTGGGTGATCTAATTTAGAAAAGGAAAATCTGTGGCTGTAGACTACGAAGTGATGTCACACATCTCAGCTAGGAATTTCCTGGTCTTTATTATGATTATGTTTAGGTGGAATCGCCATATGAAATTTAAAATAACTTTTAAAATAGTTTTTATTTGGGGGAATAGTAGGTGTGTGATAGTTGTGTAAGGGTAGCATCGTGCACATATACATGCTGTTTAAGAAACGATTTAATTAAGAGAACTAAACTTAGATCTGTAAAGAAAAATGTACACTCTATTTAGTATTGCTAGTAATAGCACGTTTTAATTGTTTTCCTTTGTAGCCCAAACCTATTGATGTACAAGTCATTACGCATCATATGCAAAGATATGCAGTTTGGTTTGGAGGATCAATGCTGGCTTCCACAGTAAGTTGGTTATAAAACTTAACATGGTTCAGTCATTCTAGGTACATTTTGGAATCCTATTTTATCCTTGATGCACGTTCATTACACCTACTGATGTATTTGGGGCAGCAAATATAAACCCCTTTGAGTCTAATGAAGACTTTAAAGATTTTAAAGGAGCAAATGACAACCAAGTGTCATGAAATGTATTTGTTTATAATAGTTACACTATTATAAATGAGCATTCTTATTGAAAACTGTATTTGGCTTTATGGCAAAATGTGATGTCTGTTGTATGGATTTGTTTAGCAGTAATTCAAAACCAAGTATAGAGTTTCCAAATTCAATATACACCTCTACCCCAATATAACGCGACCCGATATAACATGAATTTGGATATAACGCGGTAAAGCAGTGCTCGGGGGGGTGGGGTGGGGCTGCGCACTCCGGTGGATCAAAACAAGTTCGATATAACGCGATTTCACCTATAACACAGTAAAAAAAAATTTGGCTCCCAAGGACAGCATTATATCGAGGTAAAGGTGTACCTTTGTTTTCCCAGTTATTATTGAGATTTACATATAGTTGAAATGCAAGCAGAGCATCTGACTTTTTGTTTCCTCTTTTCCAGCCTGAGTTCTACCAAGTATGCCACACCAAAAAAGATTATGAAGAGATTGGTCCTAGCATCTGTCGTCACAACCCAGTGTTTGGAGTCATGTCTTAAAACTGACCTGAGAGGGGTCAGGGCTAGGGAATGGGGGAAAAGGAGGGTCTTGCTGATTACTTGTTTGTCTGGATGGCGGGTATTAAAATAACAAACATGACTTGACAATAAGAAAAAGACCAAACACAATTAAACAGGAATATTTTAATAAGTGTCTCAATATGCGGATATAGTGGAAAGCCAAAATAATTAAGTGTTTTTCTTTAGATTGAATATTTGAACCTGTGCGTAACAAAACAAAGAAGTGGGTTTTAGTTCTTTCTGTGCCCTGATATTTTGTATATTGATGAATTATCCAAGATTTGATGGGATTTGACGGTGTGTAGATAGTCAGCTCTCTAATGCTTCAATTGTACTCTTACATGTGTACAATGCAAGAACTTGTTTATATTTCATACTTTTTTATACTTTGAGGAAAAATATCAATTAAAGAAAAACTGTAATATTTGAGGGAAAAATACCAGTGACCAACTTAATGGTAAATTAAAAAATATATATATTGGGCACATGAAGCTTACTCATGTGACTCTAGTTATTGCAAACTATGACCAATCTAAATCCTCGGTCCCAACTTTGCAAGTGCTTTTGGAACAAAGAAGCTAGTATCTTGGGTTAACCGATGCCTGCTAGTGCTTTCTGATTACTCGGTGCATTTTCATTCTATTTCTTGCTTAAAAAAACAAAAGTAAAGACAAGACTGTTGGACCAGTATTGCAGTTCCGTAGTGTCATTTCTAATTAAAAAAACAAATAATCCCATTATCGAAAGTGGTGTATTTTAAAGCCTACCACCATTCCAATAAAGGCACAACATTTCTTTTTATATTTGTGTGAGGCTTTGTTGATCACATTGCATGAAATCTTCATACACACCTCAGCTGGTTTGCAAGATAGAGATCACTATGTGTATTGTTCAAACTAAAACGAAATTTTTAGAACTGAAATTTGTGTGGCATCTAAATTAATCCATCTATACATCTCCATATTCGGTCTTATTCATCTCCATAGCTTATTGCTACAATTTCCCCCCTGGCCCCCCCATTTCATTTCAGTTTCTGTGGTGGTTTGCAGGAGACAGCATTGCCTTTTTTCAATTTTCATAGCTTATGTGCAAAAGTAAAATGAAGCTCAAGGTTTTTTTATAGTTTCTAGAAAGAAGTTGAGTGTATTTAATGTTATCTGCAATTTTTGTTAATGTTTGAACACAGAAAATACAGGGAAATCTTTCTAAAGAATGTGTAGCAGGAGGATTTTCTGCTGGACTCTCAAACTTAGTTAAACCAGTTTACACAGAAGACCACAAGAGGGAGATCTTTTACTTGATTTTTTTCTCCACTGAAATGAAAAATGGAGACATCGAAATCAAGGGTAGAGGAAAGAGATGAACGTTTATTGTGATATCTTTCAGTCACTTGAAAGAGAAGAGAGAGCATGACAAATGAGATCATTCTTTCCAGAAAATGAGGATAAATATGGAAAGGCATTTTTACACCTCTTACTAAGACATTTTATGTGTAGCAGCTAAAAATAAACAGAACCTTGAAGCAAAATAAGAAACTGTTAATCGTGATATAAAATTATCTTAATATCTTTTGAATAAAACTCTAGGTACGATTCGTAGTCTCTCCTGACAACTGCTATAATTTCTATGTGCTTTGTTCATTGGTTAATGATATCAGTGCAAAAACATTCCACTTGGCTTCTAAGGTTGACTTAGAGGCCTGAGCATAGTACTTGGAGATGGAAGCTTGAGTTCTGTTCCAAGCTCTTACATTAACTCAGTGTTTGTCCTTGGGAAAGTCACTTAACTTCTCTGTTTGCCAGTCTAGTATAATCCATAATTTTAATCTCATGTATATTGTAAGGATTAATGTTCTACAGCACTTTGATGAAGTAAACCGCCATATGAGTAGGCCCTACCAAAGTCACGGACATGAAAAATGTGTCACGGACTGTGAAATCTGGTCTGTCCCCATGAAATGTGGTCTGTTATGTGCTTTTACCCTATTCTATAAAGCTTTCATGGTGGGAGACCAGCATTTCTCAAACTGGGGGTCTTGACCGAAAAGGGAGTTGCCGGGAATGTCGCAGTATTGCCACTCTTACTTCTGCACTGCCTTCATAGCTGGGCAGCTGGAGAGCAGCGCCTGTTGGCCAGGCGCCCACAGTTCTGAAGGCAGCACCCCGCCAGCAGCAGTGCGGAAGTAAGAGTGGCAATACCATACCATGCCACCCTTACTTATGCATTGCTGCTGGTGGCGGCTCTGCTTTCAGAGCTGGGCTCCTGGCCAGCAGTTGCTGCTCTCTGGCTGCCCAGCTCTGACTACAGCGCCGCCGCCGCCAACAGCAGCACAGAAGTAAGGATAGCGGTACCGCAACCCCCTCTACAATAACCTTGTGATTCCCCCCCACACACACCTCACTGTGAAATTTATGATTTTTAAATCCTGAGGCTGTGAAATTGACCACAATGGACCTTGAATTCATAAATAGATAAATTCATGGAGTATAGGTCCATCAATGGCTATTAGCCAGGATAGGCAGGGATGGTGTCCCTAGCCTTTGCCAGAAGCTGGGAATGGGTGACAGAGGATGGATCACTTAGAATCATAGAATATCAGGGTTAGAAGGGACCTCAGGCGGTCATCTAGTCCAACCCCCTGCTCAAAGCAGGGCTAATCCCCAGATAGATTTTTGCCCCCGATCCCTAAATGGCCCCCTCAAGGATTGATGATTACCTGTTCTGTTCATATCCTCTGGGGCACCTGGCATTGGCCACTGTCAGAAGACCGGATACTGGGCTAGATGCACCTTTAGTCTGACCCAGTATGGCTGTTCTTATGTGAATTTGGTAGGGCCCTACATATGAGTGGCAGGTGTTCTAGAATTTTCATTCTCTACTGTAGCCGGGAAATAGCAAGTTGCACACTTCAATCAGTCTAGTCTTGAAGGTAAAACTGTAAGTACAGCCATCGTTGTGCTGTTGTCTGGCAGAAAAGTGAAGTTCAGTTGTACCTGTAGCTTTTGAGGCTTTATTTTATTGTATTTTTGCAAACAAGAATACTTTCCCTACTTCAGCCTGAAACCCATCCAGCCAATAACAGAATACTGTTAAGGTAGATACGCTGCCTGAATTGGGTTCAGGAAATAAAAATATCTGTTACTTAACTCATCTGCATTGAAAAATAGCAGAAATCCCTCCAGGATTTCCGAGAAAAGGAAGAGGCTAACCAATGGTGTAATGTCTGCAGGCTGTACATAGCACACCAGAGCAGCATTTCATAAGGCCCGCAGCCTGCTTCAACACAATATACTAATGGCTGATTCATTAGTGTTTTGTTATGTTTACATCATTTTGGTTTACACAAGAGGATAAATCAAAACAACCTATGTACAGTATTGTCTATCTAAATACACATGAAGCAAGCTGAACTTAAAATATAAATCAATACAGGTGGCTTTAAACTTTATTAAAATAGGTAGAATCTGCTTTGCCCACACAAGCTTATTCTGAGGTTTATGTGGCCCTCCTCTATAAGAAGGTTGGGCACCATTGGTCTAATGTGTTCATCAACAAGTGCCTTACTCACTGGCTAATACCCGGTGTAGTGGTGTGTGTGTGTCTGTGTGAAATCTAAAGTTGCTTTTAAGGTAGGACATATAGTGCAAAACACATTTAATAAGAACTCCATTTTGTGATGATCTTCCCCACACCACTGTATCATTTACACAGTTGACCTAGGGTAGGGTCTATACTGCAATAGAAGACCCTTGGTACAACCATGGCTGTCCTGAGTCCCCTAATTCAGGTTCATGGGGCTCTACCTGTGGGGCTGTAAAATTGCAGTATAGATCCTTAGGCTGGAACCCAGGCTCCAGCACAAACCCAAATGTCTACACTGCTATTTTTAGCCTTGCAACCCAAGCCTGAGAAGTAGCTGACCCAGGCTCTGAGACACGGTGCCACAGGTGTTTTACTGCAGGTACCCATACTCCCAGGACAAGCAGGTGAATGAAAGATGGACCGAGGCGGTTTAAGTGTCTTTAACTTAGTGTTCCTCTCCATTGTTATCTACCCATACCCCCCTCATGTGCATTTAATTGGGTCCTATGTGATGTTGAAAGGGTTCACACCATATAACCAATGACTTGGGGTTGAGCCTCCTGAGCCTAACCCCTAGGACTCAGCTCACTTCTGAATCTCCTTGCATGCCCCCTCAATGAGGTGACTGAGGGAACCTCAGTCCGTGAAGACGTTAGGACTCCCCATCTCTTCATGGTCAAAAGGTTCTCCAGCCATCTTCCAGGTGTCATTTATTGCTGAGAGCTGGCCCTTTTAATCTACTTCTATATTGGATACTGGCCACATACTGCAGGAGACTGAACACTCCTCTATTCCTCCAAGCAATAAATTCCTATTCTTACTCCTTTCAACCGGAGCTGTTCTTCTGTGGTGTTGTAAGGAAGGCAAAAACCTGGCATCTGGTCACTGTGGCCCAATGTGAAACAATTCTTTCCTGGTCCTCAAAAACGGGCTATTGGGCAGACCTACAGCATCCTGGACACAGATCAACGTTCCCACCTATGGGGGAGGGGGAAGCAGCAAGATGGCCTGTGGTCTCTTGGCTTTAAATTGATGGAGGGAAGGGAAAGGGCTACTCAATCCCTCCTTGGCTGGCCAATGGGAAGCAGAAGAAACAAATTCACTGTGAGGCAGAAGGAGAGGCCTTTTCACCAGCATGTCTTAGCATGACCTGTGCCCCTCCCAAGTGTGGTTCATCCCCCTGTTGGTCTGATCCAACTCTCTCTGCTGAGATGGGGAGGTTCATTTGAATACTAGCAAGAGAGCTGGAGCTGATGAGAATGGCAAGTGCAGGAAGAAAAGTCAAAATGTACAGCAGTTCTTCAGGTGTGTGATGGGATATGCCCCTCCCCCATCCTATTGATAGGCTAATGAGCATGCAGGCAGTGTCAATTGGGTGCACCCACAGAACATACTTTATTTGGAGAAGGAGAGCTTAACAAGGTGGAGCTCTCACATACAGAAAGGGGCAACGTTTGCCCAGGATGAAAGGTTTCAAGGGACAGCCAGTGACCTCTAGTAGCAAGACGAGCCCAGTTCAGGCAGGGACTAGCCTCCCTTTCTTACCCCCCTCTTCCCTTTGTTTGGGGGCAGACTGACATTGCAAACCTGATATGGGCAAGAGGCCTGTAAGGCTGTTTCTAGCCAACAACCTGTGGTCAGGCCTGGGGAGCACTGCCAAGAGCTAGAGGTAAGGACTCAGAAAGGACCCTGGGGCTGACCTAAACTCGTGCTGGAAACAGTGAGATTGTCCAGGAGCGGGGGGCTCCTGTAGGGGAGCCAGGGATAGGAGAGTGCAAGAGAGTATGGCTGAGTGGCAGCTGACTACAAAGTGTCCAAAAAGGAATGAAATGCTGAGGGGGAAAATCTATGGAGTGGGAAGTGACTATCTCTGGATATTTAGTAAGCAGATTGTAAGAACATTTCTCGCTCTTATATCAATTTGGAAGGGAAGAGGAATCCAGGAATCCATTTCAGAATCAAAAAATCAGAAACTTAGATTAGCTTTCTGTAGGTATATGTTGAAAAAATTTAGCTTTTAAATAAAGTTCTCAATTTTGGTAGAAAGATCTGAAACAAGACTAAAGAACACACCTGGTGCTGTTTTAAAATTCATGCCTACACTTGTTCATGCTACCTTGTGATAATTGAATACTTTGAAATTTTTTCTTTTGTAAATAAAATTTGTCCAGTTGTCATCTCCATAATGTTACAGTATTTTATATGCAAGTTACTACTTA